CATATATATTCTTAATTGTGTACTTGGATTGTACCAACATTGTGCTTTGATGGAAAGGAATGGAATTCGTAAAAGTCATATGACATGTGTAGCGTAGACCTAAGATTGTTCTGTTTATTCTATAATATGATTGGGCTCGAGGCCGTTCTGTCAATATGATTGGGCCCAAGGCCGTCCATTCTGTTAGTATGATTGGTCCCGAGGCCGTTCTATTAATATGTGGGCCTGAGGCCATTCTGCTTATATGTGGGCTTGAGGCCCTTCTAAACTTTGTGTGCCTGAGGTCGTTCTGATATGATGGGCCTAAGGCCGTTCTATTTATATAATGGGCCTAAGGCCGTTCTGTTGATACGATTATGGATATTGTGAGAACTTTATGATTATCTTTTTACACTGCTTTACTTTATTATTATTCATTGAGTTTCACTCACCTAGTATTATATATGCACATGTAGGTGATTCGTAGCATGGAGCACACTCCTAGAGTTAGCTTCAGAAGCTATTTTTGTGACCCAATCAAGTCCTACCTCCGAGATGGAGTTTTGTCTTTGACTCACACCATACATTGACTTTATTTTGTTTTTGTTTTTATGGTCTTGGGTTTGTAAATGATATGTACGAATTCCTATGGCACTTATATTTTTGCATGGGCATGTAAATGTTTCAATGTGTTATGAGATTAGCTTCATAATTTTGTTGATGTTGGCACAACTCAATGGACTTATCATTATTATATGCTTCTGCTTATGGCCCTATTATCATAAATATTCTTATGTTTGTTTGAGGCCTTCGGTAATCTACAGATTATAGGTCGGTTATGACCCAAACTTTTAGGGGTGGGTTTGGGTCGTGACAGAGTGGTATCAGAGCATGAGTTAATATCTAACACACGAGTCCATTTGAGAAATAAGAAGTCTAGAAAAAGGTTTAAGTTGCATCCATAATGCATTTTTAATCAAGTATGATATGCAAATGTGCATTTGTAAATGTGCCTTGTGTGCATATTATCTGTGAAAGTTATAATGTATGTTCTTGTAGATCATGGTAAGAACAAGGGCGGAAGATGGAGAGGATTCAACCTCCGCACGATTTGATAGAATGGAGTCAATGATTATGGACATGGCAGAGGTTTTTAGACAACAGCAACAACAACTACCACTGCCACCAATGCTTGTGCCACCATCTGCAGTGCAAGACCACCAAGCTGATGACCGAACTATTGCTCTCACAAAGGAATTTAAAAAGATGAAACCGCCATCGTTCAAAGGTGGAATTGATCCACTGAAGGTAGAGGCTTGGGTGCTTGGTATAGAAAAACTGTTTGAAGTCTTCCATGCACGGAGGCATAAAAAGTCTTCCTTGCTGCTTTTATACTCGAGGATGAGGCACACCATTGGTGGATGCTTATTCGAGAGGAACATCAAGGAATGAATTGGGCTCAAGTTTTGAAGATCTTCTATGAGAAGTACTTCCCGCAGAGTATCTGAGACAAGAAGGTGTCAGAGTTTGAAAACTTGAAGCAATGGAGCAAAACCGTAGCGGAGTATGAGGCACAGTTTACTAAGCTAGCTTGTTTCGCACCGTATATGGTCGATATGGACTACAAAAAGGCAAGGAAATTTAAGGGAGGTCTCCGAGACTCCATTCTTGAGAAGATTAATGTGTTGAAGGTGTAGAAATATGTGGATGTATTGGATAGGGCTGTCATAGTGGAAGGTAACCAGGCCAGCCGCAACAGGTACTTGGATTGGAAGGGCAAAAAGCAGAGGTCTAATATGCACAAAGGGTTGACGTCCTCACAAAATAAGAAGCAAAATTTGGAAACTTTTAGCACTTCGGGTTCTACCCGTGATTCAACACCAACTTGCCCAGAGTATGGAAAGAAGCATCGAGGGGTTTGCTATCGAGCAATAAGAGCTTGCTTTAAGAGTAGGAAGACGGGACATATGATGAGAGATTGTCCTATGTTTGGGCAACAAAAAAAGAATAGGCCAACCGTTAGTTCAGCCGATTCCACTCTTGCACCAAAGACCCCAGCATGGCCTACTACTTCTAGATACAATGTTAGGCAAGGGAGAGTCTTTGCTCTTGTTTCAGGTGATGTTTAGAATTTGGATGCTGTGGTTTCAAATACACTTTCCATCAATGGCCAACCTGCTCATGTGCTACTTGATTTGAGTTCCACCCGTTCCTTTGGTTCGAAAACATTTGCTCTTAACTTGAATAAATCTCTGGAACCCTTGAATTATGTGTTGTGTGGGTCTCTTCCATCTGGAGATTATATGCTACTTGCTTCTATTTATCCTGTATGTGAGCCTTTACTTGATGATATTCCATTATGTGCTAATTTGATGCCTCTTGATATGGTACACTTCGATATAATTTTGGGGATGGATTGGTTAGCTAAGTATCATGCAACCATTGATTGTGTGTCTAAGCAAGTTATTTTCTGCCCACTAGGCCAAGATGAGTTTACTTTTGTGGGACATGGGATAGCTCCTGCACCCTATCTAATCTCGATTATGAAAGCCTCTAAACTACTTCAGAAGGGTTGTAAGGGTTATTTGTGTAGCATTTTGCATGTAGAGACAACCGAGGTGGGTGTTGGAAATATTCCAATTGTTAATGAGTTTTCGGATGTGTTTTCTAAGGAATTGCAAGGGGACTTGATAGACCGTGAGATTGACTTTGTCATTGATATTGTGCCGGGTACTCAACTGATTTCTAAGGCTCCGTACAGAATGTCTAAGACAAAAATAAAGGAATTGAAAATACAGTTGCAAGAATTGCTTGACAAAGGGTTCATTTGGCTGAGTACATCGCCATGGGGCGCACCCGTTTTGTTTGTGAAGAAGAGGATGGGACCCTTTGGTCGTGTATGGATTACCGAGAACTTAATAAGGTAACGGTGAAGAATAAATATCCTTTACCACGGATTGATGATTTGTTTGACCAACTATAGGGGGCACAAGTGTTTTTAAAAATTTATTTGAGATCCGAGTACCAGTAGTTGAAAGTCAAAGCAGAGGATGTTGAGAAGACCGCCTTTCGAACCAAGTATAGTCATTATGAATTTCTAGTTATGCCATTTGGGGTTACGAATGCACCAGCAACTTTTATGGATTTAATGAATCAGATTTTGAAACTGTATTTGGATGAGTTTGTGGTGGTATTCATTGATAACATTCTTATTTATTCAAAAAGTAGGGGGAAACATGAAAAGTTCTTGAGACTATTTCTTCAAACATGTAGGGATAAGAAGTTATATGCTAAATTGAAGAAATGTGAATTTTGGTTGAATGGAGTTGTGTTTTTGGGGCATGTGATTAACAATGATGGTGTGTCTGTCGATTCACAAATGATAGAAGCTATTGTGAATTAGCCTGCTTCCACTAATGTTACAGAAGTACGCAATTTTATGGGTTTAGCGGGTTATTACCGAAGATTTGTTAAAGATTTCTCCAAGATTGCGGTGTCGCTCACCCAGCTGACTAAAAAAGGTGTACCATTCGAATGGACAGAATAGAGGAAGTTTGCCTTTCAAGAATTAAAGACAAGGCTCACAATAGCACCGGTCCTCACCTTACTGTCATGTATAGAACGGTTTGTTGTTTATAGTGATGCCCCTTATTAGGGATTGGGGTGTGTACTTATTCAGAATGGAAGAGTAATTGCGTATGCATCTCAACAATTGAAGTCGCATGAAAAGAATTACCTTACACATGATTTGGAACTAGCTACTATGGTTTTTGCATTGAAGATATGGCGGCATTATCTCTATGGAGCCACATGTGAAGTCTACAGCAACCATAAGAGCCTCAAATATCTCTTTACTATGCAGCAAAGACGGTGGTTAGAACTCATCAAAGATTATGACTGGCAGATTCATTACCATCCCGACAAAGCCAACACAGTAGCGGATGCTCTTAGCAGAAAATCAATGGAAAATTTAGCATATTTGCTTACGGAGTGGAATGAACTATTACTTGACTTGGAAAGAATAAAAGTGGAGATTGTGCTACATGAATGGGATGGAATATTAGCCGCAATGGCAGCATAATCAATCATTATTGAGAAAATTAGACAAAGGCAATTGGAGGATGAATTTCTCAAAAAAGGACATAAGGAGATGGAAACAAAGTCGAGACCGGGATTTTCTTTGGAAGCTCAGTTGTTAAAATTCAAGGGAAGATTGTGTGTTCCTAATGTCCCCGAAATTAAAGGAAAAGTCTTAGAAGAAGCTCACAAGTCCAGATTTGCTATGCATCTCGGGAATACCAAAATGTATCAAGATCTTAAGCAAGCTTTTTGGTGGTCCAATATGAAGAGAGAAATTACAGAATTCATTTCAAGGTACCTTCAATGTCAGCAAGTAAAAACGGAACACCAGAGATCGGCGGGGTTACTTCAACCTCTTCTTATTCCGGAATGGAAGCGGGAGCACATAACTATGGATTTTATTGTGGGCTTACCCTGAACATCCTGAGGTATGGATTCTATATGGGTTATTGTGGACAGGTTGATTAAGTCTGCTCACTTTTTGCAGGTGAAGACTATTTATAATGCTGATAGACTTGTTACAGTGTACATTGCTGAGATTATTCGATTGCACGGTGTTCCAATTTCCATTGTATTGGATAGGGATTCTGGCCTTGTTTGGTTTGTGTTTCTCAAAAAATTTTGGGAAAAATTCTCTACAAATAAGTTTTCAAAAGTAATCAAACCAAACAAATTTTTCTAAATTTTTTTTCCAAAACTTGTTTGGTTTACAAATTTTCCAAACAAATCTCTCTCTCATATACATCAAATCAATCACTGTTTCCAAAACTCTCTCTCAAAATAATTTTTTAAAACATCTTTTGAAAAAAAACCAAACCAAACAAATTTTCATACTTTTTATCTCAAAACATGTTTCTTAAATACAAACCAAACAAGGCCTCTAAGTTTGTGTCAGGATTTTGGCAAAGCTTACAAAAAGCATTGGGGATGGAATTGAGGTTCAGTATTGCATTTCATCCACAAACCGAAGGACAATTTGAAAGAACTATACAAACTTTGGAGGACATGCTCCAGATGTGTGTTTTGGATTTTCGTGAAAGTTGGGAAACTCATTTGCCTTTGGCAGAATTTTCATATAACAATAGTTTCCCCTCCAGTATTAGAATGACACCATATGAACCTTTGTATGGAAGAAAATGTTGAACTTCGATTTGTTGGACCGAGGGTGGGGATAGGTCGTTGATTGGGCCTGAAATTATACAAGTTACTACGAAAAAAATTTAGATCATCCAACAAAGATTGAAAAATGCTTAAAGCCGACAAAAGAGCTATGAGGATCAAAGGAGGAGAGACTTAGAATTTGAAGTTGGGGATCATGTTTTTGTCAAAGTCACTCCAATGAAAGGACACACAAAGTTTGGGAAGAAAGGAAAATTGTCACCCCGGTACATAGGGCCATTTCAGATCTTAGAAAGATTGGATCCAGTTGTCTATCGAATTGCTTTACCACCGGGTATGGAGCAAGTGCACAATGTGTTTCACATATCAATGTTGCAAAGCTACCTTCGGGACCCTTCTCATGTCATTAACTATCATCAGATTAAGCTAGATGACAATATGGGTTATGAGGAGCAACCTATTTGAATCCTTGACCGGCAAGTCAAACAACTAGGGAACAAGACTATCCCAATGGTAAAAGTCGAATGAAGAGAACATCATGAAAACAAAGCTACTTGGGAGCAGGAAGAAGAAATGAGACAACGATATCCAGAATTGTTCTTGACTTGAGGTAAACAAGTTTGGAGGACCAAACTTCCCAAAAGGGTGAAGACTGGGATAACTCAACCCATACTCTACTTAATTGTGCATGTGATTATGTGTTTGATATGAATTTGCAAGTTTGAGTATGTGAATTTGGAATAATATCTATCGAACGTAGGAATATCTGTTGCAATTACAACTTTGAACTGAAATCGAAAACCTTAGAGGTGTTATAAACAAAAACCGACTTCATATTTGTGATTAGCATGATTTATAGAGCTTTTGGCGAAATTTTGAAAAATTACAATTCGTAATGATTAAATAAAAATTTATAAGATAAGTCATATTTGTGTTTAGCCTCTTGTGTTCTTCATTTGGTAGAGAGCTTGCTAGAGTGAGTTAGAGAGAGATGAAGAAGAAGAGCTAGAGTTTTGGAAGAGAATCAAAGGGCAAACCTTAGACTTGGGTTAAGGTGTGATAATCTAATTATAATCTTTGTCTCTAACTCATCTTTGTCATTGAATCAAGAAGAAATTGGGAATTTTAGGCTAGGGTTTGAGTTATGTAAAGGATTGAACTAAATGCAAGAAATCTCTTCTTGTTTGTTTAATTTGAGTCCACACTTGAGATTAATGCATGAAATGAGCTCTAGATTGTGCATACAACAAAGATTTATTGAAGGATCACCCATGTTTTTATGTATTTGGGCTTGATCATGAAATTTATGAAGTTATGAAAAAGATGAGACCTTGATTTTGTTATTGGTTCAAGATTGATGTGTCTGAGATGCAATTACCCTTGTATCATGCTAATGTATTATGTTTTTGAGTTATTTTTGCATGATTTAGGGCTTGAAAATCAACCTAGAGGCTTAAGTTTTTTTTTTCCCAACTTCGAATTACCCAGAACAGCTAGGATCGCACGTGCGGGGCTCACAACCACACGTGAGGAGTTCACGGTCGCACGTGTGGGGCTCACAGCCGCACGTTCGGAAAATAGGGCAGGGCTACACTTCGCTACTTAAATAAAAGCACGTACGGGCCACACGTACGACATGTTTTCCGCACATGCAGTAAGGGGCTTCCGTACGTGCGAAAATCAGGAGAAAAATCTTCATTCTTTTGTTAACTTCCTCGACCCTCTGAATTTGTTTTTGAGCATATTTTGTCCCTCCGCAATGCCTATAGATGAATGGATAATGAACGAATCGTAAAACAAATTAATGAAAGAAAGCGTATGAATTGAACGGATTATTCATCGAATGTGTGTGTGAAATACTTGTGTCGGTCGTGTGCTGGAGGAAACACCTCGGAACCTAACTCACTGTGTGTAATAATATTGTACATATATATTCTTAATTGTGTACTTGGAGCCACGAATTAGGAATTATGCCAACATTGTGTTTTGATGGAAAGGAATAGAATTTATAAAAGTTATATGACAAGTGCAACGTGGACCTAAGGTCGTTCTATTTATGCTATAACATGATTTGGCCCGAGGTCGTTCTGTTAATATGATTGGGCTCGAGGCCATTTTGTTAATATGATTGGGCCTGAGGCCGTTCTGCTTATATGTGGGCTTGAGGGTGTTCTGAACTTTGTGGGCCTAAGGCCGTTCTGATATGATAGGCCTAAGGCTGTTCTGTTTATATGATGGGCCTAAGGTCATTCTGTTGATACGATTATGGGTATTGTGAGAACTTTATGATTATCTATTTATATTGCTTTACTTTATTATTACTCATTGAGCTTCACTCATCCAATATTATGTGTGCATATGTAGGTGATCCACAACATGGAACACACCCCTAAAGTCAGCTTCATGAGCTATTTTTATGACCCAATCGAGTCCTTCCTCCGAGATAGAGTTTTGTCTTTGACTCACACCATACCTTGACTTTATTTTGTTTTGCTTTTATGGTGTTGGGTTTGTAAATGATATGTACAAATTCCTATGGCACTTATATTTTTGCATGGGCATGTAAATGTTTGAATGTGTTATGAGGTTAGCTTTATAATTTTACTCATGTTGGCACAGCTCAATGGTCTTCTCATTATTATATGCTTCTGCTTATGGGCCCATTATCATAAATATTATGTATGTTCGTTTAACGAGTTCGGTAATCTACGAATTACTAGCCGGTTATGACCTAAGCTTTTAGGGGCGGATTCAAGTTATGACACCTGTGAATCAAACAATTAGATTTTTATGATATAATCTGTACGGGGTGCAAATAATCTATGCTTCCACACTTCCTTGCCTCTGGTGTTCCGTTTACTTCAATGGTGTTGTCGCACTTGCAAACATGGCAAGGATAAGCTAACCAGTGGGTGTCTCGTCGGAAAATCCCTCCGACGGTTTAGTTAGCACCACTAGAGAATATATAAGATAGAGAGAGTATTTTCAGAGTTCTAGATTGCATACCTTTCACACTGAAGTCCAGTGCCTTTATATAGGCAACTCGTTTCGTTTCTCTATGTAATGCTCCTCTTCCTTAATATCTTGGGGCAAGATTATTCTTTTTCATTATTCATTTGTACACATGTACTTGTCAGAAGCAGACAAGATGTCAGTTAGCAATAACTTGGGCAAGTCAAAGTTTGTCTTCCACGCACCGTTGGGGCATGAGAAACACTCACCCAGCCACTCATGGTCGAGCTAATAACAGCTCGGTTTTGCTCATGAACAACGCCCATAGGTCCAAGGTTGTGTTGCTGCCCACAGTCTAGCCGAGCCATTAGCTCCGTCACAGACACACCAAGGCTTCATTCAGCAAGGCTATATTCTGTTCGGTTGACCACAGGGTGATAGACTTAGCTCAGCCCACTATGGGAATAGCTTAACCCATATTCTGAAGGACAATTCAGCTGACGCACTGAAACCCTTTGTTAGCCCAGCTAACCACAAAACAATGAATTTAAGTTGGCCCTTGTTGTACGATATAAATTCCCCTCTCAATTGCCCCTTAATCCCATCTTCTGGTTCGGCTGAAATCTGTCTGTGCCTCTTCACTAGCCCTCTATTCAATGTTTTTGACAGTCCATCCCTCTTGGAATACATGGCATCCTCTCAACGGTCTTGGGCCATAGCCCCAACTAAATGGCACTGCACTATGACTCTCGAATTGACGCATCGTTTTAGACTCTCTGTATATAGCCAATGCACCCACAATTCTTCTTTCCTGTTCATCTTCTTTCTTTGCTCAAACCCTATAAACTAGAGTGCTACACACGCACACCCTTTTCATCGTTGCCCCTGCTGTCGTTGCCTCGTGATCATGCCATGTCTTTTGCATTGATCTAGTCGTCTGCATTTTTGGAGTATTTCTGCAAATTGGATTAGTTTTTTAGTCCCAAATTGGTAAGTTTCTCACGACCTTTCCTCTTTGTTCTTGATGTTCTTTACTGCATTTTCTCTTTTTTGTGCATTTTTCCTACCCTAAACTGGGATTCTGAACCTATAACTGTAACTATGACCTTTAAAATGCCCATTAGTGTAGATTAACGAACATTTAGGCTTATTTTGGGTATAGATCTTCATTTGGAGTTATTCCCGCCCAGGTTTTGGTATGAACTCTAAGAACCCTAGGACGGATTGAGCTGAAACCACACTTTTGATCTTAAAATCTGAAGACACCGAACTAAAACTAGTTTCTCATATGTGGAACCCACAATGCTCTAAGACCAAGCTAAATTAGCAGCATAGCCTCTTAGACCGAGCTAAAACCAAGACTTTGGTCTATTTGCCATCATATGCTCCCAACCGAGCTATAGGCTTAGCTCACTGACTCTGATCCTTAAAACAATATATCTCCTGCCCAAAGACCGAGCTAAGGATTTCTGGCTCACTGATATGGATACTGAGCTATAAAGCTCCTGTTCAAAAACCTGAGCTATGGCCCTCTGCCCCTTGTCCATGTTCGAGCTAAACCACTAGACATGCTTTTTGCCTAAAAATTGGGCTAAACCACTAAATAGGCCCTTTGCCCAAAAATTGGGCTATAAATGAGCAATGACCCCGCGCTAAAAATTTATTTTTCTGCCCTGCAGATTGAACTAGGACTTGATTAGGCACACCTCAACACCGTCATTTGGTGCTGTTTTTCAACTGAGCAATCGGGCTATTTTCGGTGTGAAGCTTTGAACCAAGCTAAAAATGGAAAATACTGCTTCAGGGTGAGCTCACTAGGAGCAATTGCTAACTTTTGTAAAGAATTTTCAATCTTAGGTGATGTTCAATTTGAACTAGCCAAAGAGTGAGTAAAGCCTTGGGGCCGACTTGACTAGTGCCTTTTTACCTTGGTATCAATAAGAGAGGGAGGGAGGGAGAGGGGTTTCGTTTCCCAGTCCTACCCCTCATTTGTGAGTTTCTTAGACAAACCAGGTTGTGCCTAACCTAGGTCTCAACCAATACCTTTAAAATAATTAATAGTGTAGCTGAGATGAACCATCAAACCGGTCTAAACCTGGGTCTGACCGAGATATTTCACTTATACACACTTAGCAAAAATAAAGGTGGCTTCTACTAGTACCTTAAAGTGAGGAAGGGCCGAGAAAAACTGATAGAAGGCACCACTGATAAAGAAATGCATGATGATGGTTTTATATGGGTTTTTGGGAATTACAAGAATACCGAAGCAAAACATACCGGGCTGGTATAAACAAGAATAAGGGAGATACTGGTAAGCCAATGTAGCTCGGTTATACTCTTCATGTTGATATTCGTTACTGATCTAACACTCACATTTTGTTTGCAGATTACAAACACTTGGCATCAAATTATAGTTGAGCTAACCAAGAGGCAATTAGGGCCGCACTGAGACATCCAGGCCAGCTTTGCCATGAATTGCTTGCTTACGAACCGAGCTACCGATACAGTGCACC